CAGCCAGGGCGAGTGGTGGATAGAACTTAAACTTTCTAATTCCTCAAATTATTAGTCCTCAGTTGCCCATTTTATTCTTTTGGATGCCAACTACAGAGATTTTCTAACCTCAGAATTTCTTAGAGATGCCACGAAACTCCTTGTGTGGGAGACTATTTCTCTGGCCAAGAACTGCTCAGGTTTGGAGGAAAAGGGTATTAAGACTAGCTTTCCTCTCTCCCCACCTCCTTTCCACATTCATCACTCCGAACCATTCAGCATTTTATCAACTCTCTACAACTTAAATTCTTTCTCTATTTAAATAGAGGAGTAAGGAGAAAGGGGAGTTGGAGCGACCTAGGAAGAGTACGATAATGAAAACAGGAATGGGCTTTCAGAGTAGATAGTGGCCTATCTGGACGAGGAGCCAATTTCTAGTCTCTTCTCCATTCCACTTCTGTTGCTGTTAATCTTCCCAAGATAGATAAAAATGCCTAGGAAGGATTTTCATGATTAATTAACTTCCTTCTCCTGGAGAATCTGCATTTAATCAAATAAGAGATTCAGAAAAAGCCCCTCTGTGCATTTGCTATTTCCCAAATGACTTTAGCATGAATTAATCAGCATGACAATGCGGCATATTTACAATGTGGCATATATTTGGGATGATATTTACTGAACTCCTTCAGTATACACTATAGAGGCAAGGGGCCAGGCACGGTGGCCCCCACATGAAAATCCCAGCACTCTGGGATGCCAAGGTGGGCGGATCACTTGAGTCCAGGAGTTCCAGACCAGCCTCGCCAACAGGGTAAAACCCCTTCTACGAAAAGTACAAAAATTAGCTGGGCGTGGTGGTGCATACCTGTGGTCCCAGCTACTTGGGAGGCTGAGTGAGACATGAGGCTTAAGCTTGGGAGGTGGAGATAGCAGTGAGCCGGGATGGAGATCGCAGTGAGCCGGGATGGTGCCACTGCATTCCAGCCTCAGCAACAGAGTGAAGGCAAAAAAAGAAAAAGAAAGAAACACTCCTTGAATTACATTACAGAGTAAAGGAAAGCTTCCCCTTCACCCTCTGAAGGTTTGCTGAAAATCACTGACTAAAAGGCAGATTAATAGGAGAAAAAAAAATTGATCATAGTTGTACATCACATGGGAGCCCTTCAAAATGAAGGCCTAAAGATACAGGGGAAATTGTCCATTGTTTTTAAGGTTCTATAAAGTATGGACAGCCTTGTAGAAATGATTGGACATGAAGGGTAGGATCTAATAATAAACACAGTAGAGAAACCCAGAAAGGCCTGTCTGTCCAGATTCTTCTTGGCCTCTCTGAGCAGCATTCCTTCCTTCTCGGTATGGGGCAGGTCCCTCTCTGGAATAGGGATCTTATGACCTATAGTCAAACAAAGGAGGGCAGATAATTTCTGACCATAAATGGCCAGTTTTCATACAAAAAGCCTTGTGGAATGGGGTGGGTGAGGGGAGCTACAATAATATTTGTAGGTTTTACAGCTGGCTTTGGGGAAAAGGGGTTCTGATTTTTATGACCTGCCTTGGGGAAGAGAGATTTTAGTTTCTGTGGCTAAGCTTGAGGGAGAATGACAGATCAGAGACAGAAGGGCAGGAGGTCAGGGAAAAGCTTCTGCTTCTGAAGCTGCTGCTGAGGCCTTCATTTTGGGTTATAGTTTTCTGAGCCCCAACAATATATCAAAACATCATACTCTTTCTGAAAAATGTATACAATTATGATTTGTCAATTAAGAATAATATTAATAATAAAAAATAGTGTTACAGCTCTTTTACAATTTGTCTAGCAGGCCTTATGGTTTTCGCTAAGAAGTCCCCACCCCCACAAAGAATAACATTAATTTAAAAATAAGACAAATGTAACATAAATAGAAAAGAACAGGTTTATTTACCCGGGTAACTACTCAATCCACAATGAACAACTCTGAACGTCTTTCACCACTTTTACCTCATAGCTGTGAGAACTGAATTTTTTGTTTTTTCTTTAGTTCACTTTGCCTGTTTACTTAACTGGCAGAAAATAACTCTTGAATGCCTGATGTATGTGAAGCCTGATGCGCTATCCAGAGGGGCCAAGTGAGGAATAAATTACTTTCAGCTGAGGATTTAGAAAGTTGGGAAGTCCAGGGCATTTGATGTGGGCCCTGATGGCAGAAAGAGCAGCTTCGTGAAAAGCTTGTCATGGATACAGGAATCTTTGTTAATGTCCAGAGATCTTAACTTCAAGGATGAAGGGCTTCACGAGATCTCTATTTTAGAGGTGAAGGGCTTGATGAAGTCAGCAGATTTGTTTTTTTAATAGTCTGTACCATGATATAAATGTTTTATTAGTTGTCAATATTGAAAATTTATAATATTTCATATTAAGCTGCACATAATCTTGAAAAATTAGAAGTCACACTGTCCGTATGCTTGCATTGCTAGAAGGGAGAAATCAGTGAAACCAAATTGCACAGGTTTTGTCTTCACTTCTCAAGTTCCCACTGGTCCTGTTAGTTTCCATATTAGTTGGCATTTATCAATATGCTTGTGCTATGGTTGTTCTTACAGCAGAATTAAGAAAACAGTTAAATATATCTTGGTCGATTATCTCTATCAAAACTGGAAAAATGAAATATGGTGTCAGAAGTTAGTGTGTTTCAAGAAAAATAGCAAATAGCACCTCTCTTTATAGAGATAAGGCATGATTTTTAATATCCAGATATTTTTGCTCTAATGTGCTGGGCCTTTGTGAGCAATTGACTTTTAACTTCTGGTTTAAGGAATATCATAACTGTCACCTTATCTGCAAATTAAGCTAAATGTAGATATTTTATAAAGGAGAACTTGGAATAGAAAGTTGGGATGAAAGCATGGAAAATGGTCTTAAGTGCTGTTATGGACTTCATTGTGTTCCCCCAAACTTAGACCAGGTGCAGTGACTCCCGCCTGTAATCCCAGCACTTTGGGAGTCCAAGACCAGCCTGGACAACATGGTGAAACCGTATCTGTACTAAAAACACAAAAATTAGCTGGGCGCGGTGGCAGGTGCCTGCCTGTAGTTCAGCTACTCAGGAGGCTGAGGCAGAAGAATCGCTTGAACCCAGGAGGAGGAAGTTGCAGTGAGCCTAGATTGCGCTACCGCACTCCAGCCTGGGCGGCAGAGTGAGGCTCTGTCTCAAAAAACAAAACAAAACAAAACAAAACAAAACAAAAAAACTTAATGTTGAAGTCCCAACTCTCAGTGTAGTTGGTATTTGAAGTCAGGGCCTTTAAACGGAAAATTAAGGTTAAATTGAGTTGTAAGTGTGGGGTCTTTAATAGAACTAGAAAGCGTGATCCTATTGTTATTTATTTTAGGGTACAAAGCATTTTGGCTTTTGATTTTATTTGTTTATTTCTTTTGGACAGCTCTGACCAGATCACAAAACTCAACAGGACTTCTTCCCTTACCCACTCCTCGCTCTTTCTATTTACCTCCCCCACCCTCCTCCCGCTCCCTTTTAACCTCCGCACTAACGACTCTTGAAGAAGCTTGAATCCTGCAATTAAAAGGAGTGAAAAATGGAAACCCTACCCTAGCCCACTGACTCAGTAGAAAGTTAAGAAGAAAGCGTTTTAACTGGGACCAGAAAACACAACGCCTTGAACTTGTGCTTTTGCTTTTTTTGCCACAAGATGGCAAGAGAAAGTCACACGTGCTCTTTCACCCACTCGGAGGCTAATCATCCCTCAGATGTTCTCTCAGGGACGCGGGATGGGCAATCTCGTAAAACAGAGCGACGAGGAATGAAGGGAGGCGACAAATGTGATGCCAAGTTAAGGAACATGATGAAATTAGGGGACTGCTCTCCAAGTAGCTTAGCTTGTCGATAAGCTCTGTCGCCAAGCCCGAGGCGCCAAACTAATGACAAGGTACTGGGGAAGAGAACATTTTAGGGTAGTGAACGGCAAATCCTACATGTATTTTGCACGACCCGCTAACCAGTTGGCATAATTCGGGGCTGTTTGTCACCTGTGACAGAGACGACCCTATTCGTCCGAGATAGCCTTCCACCCAGAGCTGCAAAGGAAGTGACGGCAGGAAAATAAAGGAAAAGCTACGGGGTGATTTTAAAGCCTGGAGTGGAATTGTGGAGGGGCTTGCCATTTTGCTTTTAAAGATTTACAGTAGAAATAATTTATTTAAGAGAGGATAACGCTGTGGCAGAGGATGCAATGCTGAGAATTCAGGCACTGTTGAGAAGAGGGGATCATGCCTTGAAAGTCTCCACTCCCTTATACTCCCACGCTCTTGGTTTACGTCCTATTTCTGTGATCTCTTCTGGGGTCCGCTTCTCTTTAAATGAGGGATTCTCCAACCTCTGTCTCAGGATTCCTAATCATGGACTTTAAAATCCCACCTGCAGATAACGGAAAATTCATTCCCATTCCCGGAGGACCTCTTCGAAAAACACAACCCGAATGAGACTATCTGGCAAATTGCAGCCCTTGGGCGGGCTTTTCAAATAGAGCGTTGACCAATCAGAGAAGGGGGACGTTACAGGCATTTAAAGATTAACCCGACCGGGCGCGGGCTATGGCTCACGCCGGTTATCCCAACACTTTGAGAGGTCGAGGCGGGTTGATCAGAAGTTGCAGACTAGCCTGGCCAAGATGGTAAAATTCCGTCTCTACTAAAAACACAAAAATTAGCCTGGCACGGTGGCGGGCGCCTGTAATCCCAGCTACTCAGGAGGCCGAGGCAGAATTGGTTGAACCCGGGAGGCGGAGCTTGCAGTGAGCCGAGATCGCGCCACTGCACTGTATCCTGGGCAACAGAGCAAGACTCCGTCTCAAAAAGAAAAAAAAAAAAAAAAGGAAGGAGTAAGCGAAAGCAAACTTGTAATTGTAGTTTAAAGCACAACTGCAAGGCTTTTTCCCCAAGGGCACCTAAGAACCTAAACTAAACTTGTCAGACTGAGCGTATATACTCACACGCAAAAAGCCTAGGGAGCTTAGCTTACTTTTTCCCGCCATCTTCCCTCCTAACGGAGGCCGGCCGTAGCCCACTCAAAAGACTACAAGCAAAATGCACCGGCTCTTTCTCTGGAAGCGTGAGTGGCTCTGAAAAGAGCCTTTGGATTGTCGGCAGCTGCGGGCGAGCTCACTTGGAGCTGGTGTACTTGGTGACGGCCTTTGTGCCCTCGGACACGGCGTGCTTGGCCAGCTCCCCTGGCAGCAGCAGCCGCACGGCCGTCTGGATCTCCCTGGAGGTGATGGTCGAGCGCTTGTTGTAATGCGCCAGGCGGGAAGCTTCACCCGCGATGCGTTCGAAGATGTCATTGACGAAGGAGTTCATGATGCCCATGGCCTTCGATGAGATGCCGGTGTCCGGGTGAACCTGTTTCAGCACCTTGTACACGTAGATAGAGTAGCTCTCTTTGCGGCTGCGCTTGCGCTTCTTGCCGTCCTTTTTCTGTGCCTTGGTTACGGCTTTCTTAGAGCCCTTTTTGGGGGCTGGAGCGGACTTAGCCGGGTCAGGCATGGCGGAGGAGAGTGAAAGACCACTCAAGAAAAAAGAATGAAGACAAGCTAGGTTATGCCCTATTTATTCACAAGTCTATATGCAGATGAGATTGAGAAACTCTTCTGTCTGATTGGAAGTTACTCAGATGACGTCGATATCAATATAGTCCAATCAAAATACGTATATTGAGAAACCTTATTTGCATTAAGAGAGAGCCGCAAGCTTAGCCAATGGCCCAGCTTCTTTTTCGCGCCCAGCAGCCGCTATAAAATGCGTCCCTCTAGTTTCCTTCCAGTCACTTTCTGACTTAGGTCACAGGTCGTTTTACCATGTCTGGACGTGGCAAGCAGGGAGGCAAGGCTCGCGCCAAGGCCAAAACCCGCTCGTCTAGAGCCGGGCTCCAGTTTCCCGTGGGGCGAGTGCACCGCCTGCTCCGCAAGGGCAACTATGCTGAGCGGGTCGGGGCCGGCGCTCCGGTTTACCTAGCGGCGGTGCTGGAGTACCTGACCGCCGAGATCCTGGAGCTGGCGGGCAACGCAGCCCGCGACAACAAAAAGACTCGCATCATCCCGCGTCACTTGCAGCTGGCCATCCGCAACGACGAGGAGCTCAACAAGCTGCTTGGTAAAGTTACCATCGCTCAGGGCGGTGTTCTGCCTAACATCCAGGCAGTGTTGCTCCCCAAGAAGACTGAGAGCCACCACAAAGCTAAGGGCAAGTAAGGACTGGACTTTAAAAGTGTAAACTTATAAGACAAAAGGCTCTTTTCAGAGCCACCCACCGTTTCTACGGAAGAACTGAGCACTCTGTTCTCCAAACCTATCAGAAATTTGTGGCCGAGTTCAAGCACTGAGGTCATTAGTTTCCTATTGGGTAAAATGCAGGTATTGAATCAGGCCTAGTGGATACTATCCAATTGCTTCATTATATTGTTAAACGACCGTCCTTCATTGTACCCTCCCCACAAACACCTTTCTAGGTCTTTAAAAAACATTTTGGGGCCGGGCGCGGTGGTTTACGCGTGCTCAGCATTTTGGGAAACTGAGGCAGGTGGGTCGGGAGGGGAGAAATCTCTTGGGACTTTGAGTTCCAGGCCGCCGTGATAACGAGACCTCTGCCTCTTAAAAAAAAAAAAAAAAAAAAAAAAAAAAAAAAAAAGCTGAGCGCGGTGGCTCACGCCTGTAATCCCAGCACTTTGGGAGGCCGAGGAGGGTGGATCACGAGGTCAAGAAATTGAGACCATCCTGGTCAACATGGTGAAACCTCGTCCTTACTAAAAACACAGAAATTAACCGTCCGTGGTGGCGAGCGTTGCCAGGGAGGCTGAGGCAGGAGAATCTCGAACCCAAGAGGCAGAGGTTGCAGTGGGCCGAGATCACACCACTGCACTCCAGCCTGGGCAACAGAGCGAGACTCCATCTAAAAAAAAAAAGAAAAAAGAAAAAAAAAAAAAATGCAGGGCGCAGCGGCCCTTGCCTGTACTTGGCGGCAGAATAAACTTGACAGCAGAAGGAACACTTGAGCCCCAGGAGTTTGAGATTTCAGTGAGCCAAGACCTCGCCACTGCACTCCAGCCTGGGAGACAGAGCGAGACCCCGTCTCAAAAAAAGAAAAACAAAACCTAAACAAAAGTATTTCTGGTGATCATTTGCTCCTGTGAATATAACAAATGTTAAACCAACCTTTTTGTTGTTTTTATGGGTCTTTATCAATACCAGAACCGTCCTTTGATCAACTAAAATCTCCATCCTAATAAAATGCTGTTGTCAGAACTACCCAGATTCACTGGCAAAAATCTAATCACTGACCCAAACCTATAATTCCGCGCATGCTAATGAAATTAAACAATGATTTACATAATTAATCCAATAAGCCATTGGGTTGCTTTAAACTCAGTTAATGAAGAGGTCAGATACCATTTATTGGTTCAAGCACCTATCAGACTCCTTCCCCACACTACACTGGGCAAAACTAAGGTTTTGGTGTTTTAGCGGAGAATGTGCCAGACTAAATTTAAGTTGTTTTTGTTCTAGGTGTTGATATAGTCATTAAAAGATTTAATTAAGCAGTTACAAAACGGAACTACTTTTTGGAAGTACTAGCAAATACATTGTTCTACTGTATATATTTTTACACGATCCGAAATAGGAAAAATGGCCCATTGGAAATGAATTTAAGACTACGACTGACCTATACAAATTCTAGGTCAGATTATATTTTCATTGGGGGAATCTTAACATGATTGGTTGAAAACAATAAATAAAATAGCCCGGAGGGCGGGCGCGGTGGCTCACACCTGTAATCCAAGCACTTTGGGAGTCCGAGGCGGGCGGATAACTTGAGGTCAGGAGTTTGAGACCAGCGTGGCCAACACGGTGAAACTCCTTCTCTACTCAAAAATTAGCGGCGTCGTGGCAAGTGCCCAGCTACTCTGGAGGCTGAGGCAGAATCGCTTGAACCTGGGAGGCAGAGGTTGCAGTGATCTGAGATCGCACCACCACACTCCACCCTGGGCGACAGAATGAGACTCCGTCGGGGGGAGGGGTTGGCGGGGGAAGAGATGGCAGGAACCAAATGAAGATAGTACTGAGAACCAATCAGGTTATTCCCACAGCAGTTCTGACCAATCAGGATCAGATCATCGTTATAAATTCTGGTAGAAGCCACTGCTCATTCAGTGCTTTCTTTCAGAGCATAGCTTTCTCAACTATGGCTCGGACGAAGCAAACAGCCCGCAAGTCCACCGGCGGCAAGGCACCGCGGAAGCAGCTGGCCACCAAGGCAGCGCGCAAAAGCGCTCCAGCGACTGGCGGTGTGAAGAAGCCCCACCGCTACCGGCCAGGCACTGTGGCCTTGCGCGAGATCCGCCGTTATCAGAAGTCGACTGAGCTGCTCATCCGCAAACTGCCATTTCAGCGCCTGGTGCGAGAAATCGCGCAGGATTTCAAAACTGACCTTCGTTTCCAGAGCTCGGCGGTGATGGCGCTGCAAGAGGCGTGCGAGGCCTATCTGGTGGGGCTCTTTGAGGACACCAATCTCTGTGCCATTCACGCCAAGCGCGTCACTATTATGCCTAAGGACATCCAGCTTGCGCGTCGTATTCGTGGTGAGCGAGCATAATCCCCTGCTCTAGCTTGGGTTTCCTACTTGTTTCCAAAGGCTCTTTTCAGAGCCACTTACGTTCTCACGGAGGATAGCTGTCACACCATTGGTTGACTTAAATCAACTTTAAAACAGGGGTAAACTGGGGGAAACTCGTCAAGGCTTGTTCATTCTGATTCCTTCCTGTGTCCTTTCCCTTCTAAGGTGGTCCTTTTCTCTGGGCCCATCTCACAAAAGGGTCTTACTTTATCCGAGGAAATCTACATCCAAGGTCAATCTGCTTCAAGGGGAAAGCCAAAATCCTTGCACATGCTGTCCTTTGGGGCCGAAGTTTGGGGATAGCATGTCCTGAACCCCATAACTAACAATTAGATTACAAGTTATATGAAATGCCATTCTTAACTGTGAAACGGGCACTGGCCTTGGATCCCTGGAAACTCGCTGAAAATCATTGACGTGAGGCCGTTTGATTAATAGAAGAAAAGGCATACAAGTGTATTTGGCACATAGACGCGAGAGACTTCAAAATGAAGACCCACCCACCAATGAGATACAGAAATTTATATATCACTTTGAGGTTATAGAAAGAATGCAAGCTTAGATCCTGGCAAAACAGATTACAGGAGGGAGAAAGGAAGAGTCTTGGCTAGCAAGGGGTCGGGGGTCTTGTTATGTAGCTGAAACCTCACAGGTAGCAGTCCTCAGAAAAAATAGATGGTAAATGTCTCTTGTCAGGCTGGGCGTGGCGGCTCAGGCCCTCCACTTTGGGAGGTTGTGGAAGGAGGATTCCCTGAGCCCAGCAGTTTGAGATCAGCCTGGGTAACAACAAAATCCTGTCTCCACGAAAAACAAATAAAAAAGCTGGGTGTTGCAGCGCACACCTGTAGTTCTAGCTGCTCGGAAGGCTGAGGCAGGAAGATTGCTTGAGCCCACCGAGTTCAAGGATGCAGTGAACTATGATTGCAACACTGCGCTCCAGCCTGAGTGACAGAGCAAGACGGTCTCTTAAAAAAGTAAAAATAAAAAAGGTATCAGACTCTCAGTTAATCTCTCCTAGATCCAGGAAAGGACTAGAAAGGGAAGGCCTGGCAACAAATGGAAATTTCCCCCACAAAAGACTGATTCGCAGGGCCTCATTGGTCTGCGGGCCCTGAGGCAGCCATTTAAAAATAGGTCAAAGAAATATCTTTCGGGGTAAAAGAGTTTTATTTCCTTCACTTTACTTTCCTCAAGAGATTGCTTTAAAGGTTAAATGCAGTAGTATATTCTAGGGCCTTGGACAGTGCCCCAGAAAACACATTAGGCGCACAAAAAATACTCCTTGAACTTGATTTTATCTCTGAATCTTAGTGTGGAGTACCCCTTGTGGGAGACTAAAATATGCCATCTCGAAGTATACTTTGTCCTATTTCAAGATGGCTATTCAGAGAAACTGCAAACATAGGAATAGCTTTGAAAAACTCTTTTGTAAGAGAAATTTATGCCTATCAAGAAAATCTACATTAGTAAACCATGGATGCAGGTACTGGCTTTCTCTGAGGCCCCTTTTCCTGCCTAAAGAAGTAACTAAGACTGACTCAAAGGAGAGAAAACTACTTTGTCACAGGCTGTCAGCTATTCTGCGATTACCAGAGAGACTTTATCTATACAACAAGAAAACCTTTGCCTTTCCTCCCTCACCCTCCTACAACTTGTGTCACCACCTCCTCCAACCCCCCAGAAGTCCTAAGACCTTTTTTCTTTCTGTAGTCTCAGAATGGTATAAAAACATCAATTATTTGGCCCTTCTGAGAGAGAAATAATATTAGGGTGGTCACAAGAGAATAGAAAATTCCAGGCAGCAGTTTCACATGACTAGCAAAAAGGAAGCTGTTGAAATAGCTGCACAAGCTAGGAGCCAAAAAGACCCTGAAAACCGAAATGTTTGCTAAGCTGAGTAAGTCCTAGTTGACCCAACATGGCACTGGATTTGACCGAGCTTTCACCTGGGACCTCTTTATACACTTATTAACATACAAATCAGACACCCACCAACACCATGACAGTTCTGAGAACACCCATATTTCATGGAAAAATGGATAGCACCACAGTTCTGAGCAATTGTCACCCTTTTCCAGAAATCTTCATGAATATTCCACCCCTTGGTTAAAGAAACCCACAAAGATAGAAGCCCCAATCACTGCTGGGCAAGACTGACTCTCTTGAGTAAGCCTGCACTTTCCTTCCTTGAGTGTGTATTTTTCACTTTGCAATAAACCTCTGTACTTTCACTATTTTCTGACTTGTCCTTGGATTCTTTCTGGCAACAGTGGCAAGGGCCTGGACACTGGCTGGGATCAACATCCTAACGGTGTTTGGGTACCTCCCCTAGCCCACAGTATCATTTCTTGGAGCATTGTATTTTGTGAGGCTCTTGTGCATATGCAGGTAATAAATTTGTATGTCTTTTTTTTTTTTTCCTGTTTATCTTTCTACTGTTGGTTAATTCCAGAGACTCAAATTATTGAAACTTCAGAAATCAAAGCAGAAGTTTAAAACAACCTTCATCCTCATAGAACTGGGGAAATACACCTAAATTCTCTGATAAGATTGGATTGAGAAGTCACTCTTGTCATTGGTCAAGATTTGGGAAATAATACAGTTTGATTAGTAACACAGAACCAAATCACTGTAATGATGTCACTTCTGCTAATGGCCAGTATTTATTTGTTTATTTATTTTTATGATTTCTGTTAGCTTCTGCTTCACAAAGCAACATTTTCCAATCTTGTGTTTCAAAACAGGAAACATTTTTGTTTAGGAGGCAGAAAAGATGAGAACAAATGCTTCAGAACCACTCCCTCCTTCCCAGAAGTGATGAAGCCCTGAAAGCGTATAAAACAAGACAGGAAACAAAGTCACTGAAAATATATTATAAATAAAGCTTATGTAGATTTCCACTCAAATGGAATCTTGAGATTCTACAAAAACTGTTTCCCAAAAATATGGTTCTCAATATGAAAGAGATTCTAGGCCTGACCCAGTGACTCACGCGTGTAATCCCAGCACTTTGGGAGGCCAAGATGAGTGGATCACCTGAGATCAAGAGTTTGAGGCCAGCCTGGCCAACATGACGACAAAACCCTGTCTCTACTAAAAATACAAAAATTAGCTGGATGGGGTGACCCGCACCTATAATCCCAGCTACTCAGGAGGCTGAGGCAAGAGAATCACTTGAACCCACGAGGCGAATGTTGCAGTGAGTCAAGATTGTACCACTGCACTCCAGCCTGGGCAGAGGTGGCAAAGCCAACATTGTACCGCTGCACTCCAGCCTGGGCAACAAAAAGGTTCTAAAATGTAAAAAACATGTTTTTCTATATATCTATTGATAATAATAAGGTTTCTTATCTGCACAAGACTAGAAATACTGAATTTTCTGAGATGGAAACTAGTACAAGCTACATTAAATTTTTAATCTATACAAGTAGTGTAGAGAACCAAGGGAAAAACTTCCCCTTTGCCATCTGAAGTTTCACTGAAAAATCAACTCACAAAGTGCAGATTAATAAGAGAAATGGCAAATGAAGTTATGATGTATACATGGGAGAGAATCATTGAGTGATCATCCAATATCCCAATAAGGCCCAAATACTTAAATAGCCTGATTTCCGAAGGGAGAGAAAAGATGAGAAATATAGGTAATTTTGTTTATGGACAATAAATAATTAATAGGGTGAATAAATGGCTTGGGGAACAGAGATTAAATGTAAATAATTCCCTTGGGAAATTGACCTAATCGCCTCCCAAAGGCCACATCTAATATCACCACATTGGAGACTAGGCTTCAACAGTGAATTCTGTGAAGACACAAACTTTCAGTTTATAGCACTAGGTATTACTTAGTGTCGGATGGGAGATGGAGAAACTCACTCTCATGTGGTGGTTTAGTGATAGTGGCTTTGCAAAAGACATTTGGAGAACCATTCCTTCTGTGCCCAGGCCTATGCTCCAAGAAAACTCTCCTGTAGACCCATATGAGGACAGATCAAGAGTATTCATCAAAGATATTTGTGATAACGTGAAAGTAGAGGTAATTTAAGTCATTGAATAAGTAAAATATAGTGGATGAATACTAACCAGTGCTCTCTTTTTTGAGGTCAAGATATAAGTAAATGTCAAAAACAAGAGCTGAACTCAAGACTCCATTAACCTTACTATTGCCACTCAATTCATACTGTAAAAGAAAAGGGCTGGGCGCGGTGGCTCACGCTTGTGAGCCCAGCACTTTGGGAGGCAGAGGCGGGCAGATCACAAGGTCAAGAGATCCAGGCCATCCTGGCCAACATGGTGAAACCCCGTCTCTACTAAAAATACAAAAAATTAGCTGCGTGTGGTGGTGCGCCTGTAGTCCCAGCTACTTGGGGAGCTGAGACAGGAGAATCACTTGAACCCGAGAGGCGGAGGTTGCAGTGAGCCGAGACTACGCCATTGCACTCCAGCCTAGTGACAGCGAGACTCCGTCTCAAAAATAATAAATAAATAAATAAAATAAAATTTCAGGGACTTCTAAATTTATTATGTCAAAGGTGAACTTAAGCCCTGAAGACTGATTCATGTAGCATATTTTCAATTATGCCTCTTAGATTATAGTTTAACTCTTTTCCTCATTGTTCTTGTTCTGTAAATGTCTAGGACAGATCCAGACCTCCCCGCTTCCAATCACTGATCTTAGTTATGCATTATCTGCCTCCTTCACTGTCCTTTGTCTAACTCAGACCAGATGATGCTCGAGACCTCATGACAGTTACATCTTCTTGAGGCTCAGAAACTAATAACCAAAAATATGGTGGGTTGACATGCTGAACTGAAGAAGCTTCAAGTTCTCTCTGACCATGCTTTGCAAAATCTCTAAATCCTCTATCTCAAAGCACTAGATGAAGTTGTTCTCTGAAGTTCCTTTATCGGCCTAAAGTCCCAGCCCACCAACGAGAACAATTGTTTTTTATTCTTTTTATCCTGTAATCTCATTATCTATTATGGAAAAAAAAAGATCAAGAAAATAACCATTGACCGGGTGCGGTGGCTCACG